ACTGGTTGGCGACCGCTGGTTTATAGGGTTCACTAAATGATACAGGCACTGGACTTCCTCAGTTGCATATAAAGTGTATAGAAAACCCTCAAACATTTAATAGGATATAACATTCGGTTTCCTGTATTCCTTGTACCTCGCCTTTTCTTACCTGCAGAAAACCCCTAATTTGTACACATAAAACCACTTCCACCTAAAGGGTGACAGCACTAGAATTTATGTTCTTCCTGTAGTTCCAGCATTGGTCACCCTGTTGTGCATGCTCCCAGGCAGGACTAAATGATTGTGTGATCACGCTGACAGTGCCAGACCGTTCCCCCAGCAGTGACAGCTTCATGTTGTGCATTTCACTTCCCCTTGTGCCACCCACCTGTTTAATTTACAGCAGCTCCTAGGTTACTATGCAATCCAGCATTGTGCCCTTTTAATGCCTAAACTACTAAACATTATGCACACTCCCCACCGGAAGTTAAGAGAAATGCCTTTGGACTGGTCCAGAAATTTCTAAAGGTAAATATTTTTTACAATGATTACAGTGATTATTACAATGATACTGCTACACACTGGGAAGTTTATAAAGGGGGGATTTTAGGTATGAGTGTTTAAAAAGACTTGAATGAAAGTAGATCCTTCTCCATTAAGTAGAAACTGTATGCACCCATGTGCATAACTGAACACTTTGCAACATTACAGTAGTACTGTGGCTAGGCTATGGACAGTCAACTAAGCAGCAAAACCTATTTTAAAACAAGCCTCCACTGACCTGTGAAGCTGCAGGCACGATAGAGGAATTGATTCTCAAAATTTTGGACAGTCTTCACCAGCCCCTGGAAGTGATCTGGCAGCAGCTCAGCCGCCAGAATTGCTTCCAGTATAAAGCCAACCAACACATACACGCAACACTAAGCCTTTAGACCAGGGGTAGACAAACATGTTCTCCAGCTGTTGTGGAACTACAAATCCCATGAGGCATTGAAACACTGGCAGCCACAGACATGACTCCTTGAGGCAGATGCATGATGGGATCTGTAGTTTCACCACAGATGGAGGTCTGGCACGTGCCTCCCGCTGCTTTAGACCGTAACACATTATCCACCTGTAGGGAACAATGTCAAAACTCTTCAAAAAAGTTTTATTATGTTTACAGCTGCCCCTTTAAAGCTCATGTGTGCTCTGTTCAGCATTGGGAACCAAAGGAAATACCCTGTACTTCCAAGTATATAGTACTTTCATGTATAGAACACCATGTGTTTGGACAAGGCAAATTAGCACTGCCACACGGGGGGCGTCCATAGTCTTGTGCAAGCTACGACTGCAGTATTTCTTCTTACACAGGACTTTCCTTCACTCCCAGTAGCTGAATGAAGCAGTAATGAAAGGAAGGTTTAGTATGTGCTGCTAGGGAAGGCCAAGTTCAAGTGATCTCTTAAAAAAAAAAATACAGAAATGGCATACATAGAGAGTTTGTTAAAGTGGATCTGTTGCTGTACCCCAGGCAAGCAAAGCACAGGCCGCCCTTTGGTTTCTGATTACTTTCACAAATTCCTGCTGGCTGCACCTTATGATATTGCTTTCCTTTATGTTTTATGCATATCAATGCTTATCCTATTCTACCTCCCTCAACTACTTCAGCATCCATATTGGTCATATTATGTGAAGGCCTCACTGAACAGAGAACGAGGAGCTAGGAAAGAGTGAGGCCAAGATGAAATTTTCCTGGAAAATTCAAGATCTGCACATACGTGAACAAGAAGAATGGATGACGCACAGACCAATATTGCTGCAATTTTTAAGGTGTTATTTAAACAAGCCGCAATAATTCAGGAACACTAATGCATCTCCGGCAATATCCAGTGCTTACCGTAATCAGACTATAGACATTCTGATTAAGCACTGAATGAAATACATAAGGCTTCAAGGGTTTCTGACGCATTACTGCTGGTAAGCTTAAATCCTTTTAAACTACAGAAATACTGGTAATGTGTGCTTATCCAGCCTTCATAATACAGAGCTGGATCTGCAGCAAACCAAATACGTGGATGGACCTGAAGCAGCAATTTTCAGGTATTTTTTCATACTGTGCTTTGTGTAATTGTATACCTCTTGGAGTTTTGTAGTACTACAATCTAGAATTTAATTGAGATAATTAGGATTTCAACAATTTAACTTACAAAACTAACACTATGAAGAATCAACATTCTTATTAGGATTCACAAATTAAGCCAAAAGACATTTGGATGCATAAGCAATAACAAACAGAACTGCATCTCAAACCTTTTGGGGCGCAAGTACATCCATACATGCAAATTAAGGAGTATAGAAGAACATTAACTAGCTGAGCATTAGAAGGCAGAAAGCATTTTCAAGGGGAAAAAATTAGTCTACTGGACAGCTAAGGGATTATACAGCAAAGGCAACAGTTATTCTGTTCAGAGATAAGTATAGTGTAATGATAAAAAGCATGTGTTTATAGAACATCAATGGTGGCTAATGGGATGACATTTTGTTTAATGTGCATTACCTTTGCCCGTGGAGTTTTTACCACAAACACTGAATCTACATGGACAAGAACAATAAGGCAGCTTAAAAGCAAGAGAGTGCGATGAGATTGGGAGAGTAGAAATGTCACACTGCTACATTATAAAAAGTGCTATTACATGACCGAGCACAGTCCAAAAATAACTGCACAGAATTCTGCAAACACATTCAAACTCACACTTTCATCTCAGACAGACATTAACCTCTCTACTTCCAGAAGAAAGCAGACAGACTTCATTGCAACTAGGTTACAACACAAGAGAAATTCTTCTAGCACTCAAAGCAAAAACTATTATTGGGCAAGAGTGAGGTCAGTTATTCAGAGCCATTAGTGTAAATATCCTGGTATATATCTCTACACAAGCCATTGATAACAACCTGTCTGCTTATCCTAATGTTACTACAAACGCAGGGCTGTACTGTCATGTTACTTCTCTCTACATAAAGAACAATTTTGCGCCAAGTTCATTTCCCTGTAACATTTCTCTATCATCTTTATGGTAAATACAAAATTCAGGTAACTGTTTCTGGGAATCTTCCAGAGAACCTTAAAAACTATTGGTTTCTCCCAATCAGGAAACAAACATGAAAACAAACAAAATAAATGGGTGGGAAGTAGGCTTGCTGTCCCGAAAGATTCCCAGAAAAAAACGTTGCCGGTAAATGTAACGGGGAATTTCCCCGATCATCTTCCAGTACAGCAACCTGAGAGAAGGAAGAAAAACAAGCCTACCTCAGGATGGGAACCACTATCTGTAGAACTTTACTGCTGAACACTAGGTCTTGTTGCAAGAAAACCTTCCCTACCGAGATAGACAAAGGTAACCTGACTAGACCCCACAACAGATGCTCTGCAGATTTGCTCCACTGGGGCTCCGGCCTTTCCTTTCATGATTTTACAAAATCTGACAATGTGCCCTAAATGGAGGAACCTGCGATCCTCCTCTTTTAAAAACAAAATAAATAAGTAAAGTTCATGGTGTTTGTTTCCCTCGTGCACTGGTGGAGGAAGTCTACTTTAATTTAACTGAGGGATGAGGGGGGTGGGAGGGGAATATAAACCAGTTATACTTGTGTTTTCTGTAGAGGGAGCAACCAATCATTTCTCAGGTTGCTGTCCTGAAAGATGATTGGGGGAAACCGAGAAAAGCCATGTAAACTAATCCAACCATCCAAGGAAGGACAGTTCTCTGAACATACAGTTAAGTTATCTAAATAATAAATTTAGCACAGCCTGAAAATGGTTTAATCTCTCAAATCTGCATAATAAATATTTCAAGAAAATAAAGCAGCTTGCTGTGGAGTATTACCAATGCAAACGTATAAAGTGCGCTAAACCCTATAGCAGGGGTAGGCAAACTCCGGTCTTCCAGCTGCACTATAAGTTGCTTCCTCTCTCCATACCTTGTTCTCATTCCATCTGGTCAGTACTGTTAGCTGGCTAAATAGACTGGAAGGGGATACACCACTGTTTTTTTAATGACAAAACACCACATCCTTCTTGTGAAGCAAACCAATAAAATGCACTCACATGCAGTGGCGTCACAATGGGGGTGCTGCCTGCACCGGGTGACACCAAAATAACTATTTTGTCATGGACCGAGAGCACCCGGCGGTATACCTTATCCTGCCGCATGAAAGTCCCCTCCTCTCCCTGTTAAGTGAGTGTGAGGTAATTACCTGTGTACGTAATGATGTTGTATGCATGCATGATGATGTCGCAGCAGGTGACACTCGGCGGCCACACCAGTTGACAACTAGCTTGGGGAAGCCTCTGCTCACATGTGGTCAGATTAATCAGGCATAAAACCTAAGTCTCCAATGTCCCCAATTTCTGCAAAGTACTCTCATGATCCCCCCACCACGCTCCCTCAACCCAACACTTTTTAAAGGCGTCATCTTCCTTAAAAGCACTACCCTTCCTCATGTTAATTCACATTGTTACACATTATCCCCTAATGGACCACTACAACAAAATAAACAAGCTTAAATTAGTACCAGAAAAAATGCATGCTTTTAGAGAAGAAAATATTGGAGAGGAATAGCACAAAACTAAAAAAGTTCTGGGAGTTGGGCAGGTCGCCCTTGAGGTTTCTTGGCATGGAGTATAGTCGAAATTTCGCATTAGCTGACACTTGACATGAATGTTCCTTTAATGAAAAAAACAAAAACCTTTACGAGGGAACAAAGTCTCAAGAATGACAAGTATAAAATGCAGAATCTAGAATTAGCTGAAGGAAAAATATGTGACATAAGAAATATGCAGATTCACAAACCTAGTTCTAACAGAATCATTTTTATGAGGATGGTACGAAGTGCCAAAGAAACCAATCAGATGTCAGGGCAATTAAGTAACACCTAATTGTGATTGTTGACGTCTTGACTTTCCAAATTTTCTCACCATTCTGGTTTGCAGAAAAGTAGACCATTTCTAAATTCATGCTAGGTTGACAAAAAGAAACTTACATTTGGGTCCATCTGCAGAAAGCTGTGTGTCCCACGGCTGCTGTAAGTTGACCGTTTAATGGTTTTGCTGTGATAAAAGTGGTAATAATTTTCAAGGCTTCCAATCTGCAAGATAAAAAAAATATTTTACATGAAGCATAGCATAAGAGTGTAGCAAATAACAAATTTGCTATTTTGTAAACAGAATGAATATCAAACATCACACTAGAATTTATAACCGATAAATATTTAGCATGTTTGAAAGAGTTTAGGCAAGGTATCTGCCATTCAGGCACAGATCTTGTAGAACACCAAGCAGAATCCAGCAGTCAAACTTATCCCTGAAATTCTTGTGTGCTTGTCAAGGTGCAAGGATGGGACCACTGTTCTGCTTGAGTAAAAATGACAATATGTATAATCACAGAATGGTCTCAAAGTGTGCAAGATATGCAAACAAATCAGACTTTGTCCATAACCCATTGCAGGCTAAATCTAAATGCATAAGGACATCCAGCGACCATGTTACAGGGGCCACCTTCCACCTGCACTTCCAAGTGATGGTGAAACTGCCAGGGGAAGCATCAACAGATCTGTGACAAGTGTGGCCTGAATGTACAAGTACACCATTCATAACCTGGCAGATGGGGAAGTAGCTTTGTGATGGTGAAACTGCCAGGGGAAGCATCAACAGATCTGTGGCAAGTGTGGCCTGAATGTACAAGTACACCATTCATAACCTGGCAGATGGGGAAGTAGCTTTGTGATGGTGAAACTGCCAGGGGAAGCATCAACAGATCTGTGGCAAGTGTGGCCTGAATGTACAAGTACACCATTCATAACCTGGCAGATGGGGAAGTAGCTTTGTAAGAGTCAACCATGAACCAAGCACTCACTTTACTTCTGGGAGTACCTGGCCCTGGTCTCTTTTTTTTTTTTTATAAACAGTCTTAACTTGCATTCAAATTTATTAAAGATAGGCAAATAATGGAAAATGGACCTCACATTTTCCGCAAATACTCAATTTTACCAGTGGAACTGGTAGGAAAGTGTCCCAGAGGATGTACTGGTTCGCTTTAATGCAGTGGCTACAATTTGCCAATCTCAAAACTAATGCACAGTGCTGGAAATGTGTAACAATTCAAAACAGTTGATAACTAAATAAATAACAATATAGCAACGTGCAACATGCATACATACGATTCTCCACAGTTCAGACTTCAAAAAGATGAACATACAAAATAGTTATTGCGCTCTTGACTCACTTTGTGAGATTCAATAGGGATTTCACTGTGAGCACTGCAGGGGGTTATAAGTAGAAAAAAAATCCCCACCGATTGTATTATAAGTGGCCAATTAAGGAGGCTAGAAAGTAAATCTTAAGTTTTCTTTTTTGCCACTTCACATGTGAATTGGCACTTTACAAAATTTCAAGTTGAAACTAGCTGGATTCACAATTTCTCAGGAAGAACGGTGATTACCTGGGAAAATCCAATGTGCCAAAACAATTTTTTCTTCCACAGACTGAATGAGCATTTGCAGAAGCATAAAAAGTTACTGAATCCCTCCAGGCATAAATGGAATGGATGGAGAGGTCATAGTCTGGCCTCCTTAATCCATGTCTCTTCATATAATTTGACTTCAGCTGAACATAAACATCTGCATCACTAGTAGGAATGCAATAGTGTATTTGGTAATCCACATTATAAAACAAAATTTTCACCAAGTACAATCTGCAAGCCAAAATTATTGGCACTGAAAACCCCAGGTCAAAAAGAAAAAATAAGTTACTTTTGCTTCCAGCAAATCAAACAACTCGGCTTCGCTATATCTCACTTAAAGTGACATTAAACCCTCAGATGTTTTTACATAAAATACTGTAATGTGTGCCTTACTGTAATCCATGGTTGTTTCCCTTCTCTTTGCTGCTCTTCCTTTTAAATCTGTATCTGTTCTCATGCTGGGCAGAACTTCTGTTTTGCAGCAGACTGCCTTGTCTCTGGAATGGCTACATGGTGTCTGTGTGTACGTTTGCAACCTGAGCCAGCACTACAGGAAGAGGCACTCAGCTGCAAACGGAAGTTCTCCCCAAGCATAAGACATGTGGATTTAAAAGGAAGAGCAGCAAAGAGAAGGGAAACTACCATGGATTACAGTAAGGCACACATTACAGTATTGGTTTATGTTAAAAAATCTGAGGGTTTAATGTCACTTTAAAGTAGAGCTATGACCGCCAATAAAAAAAAAAACAACATTGTGTTATAGTACTGAAAAAGAATTTGTGGTAAACTTTTTTTCCCCATAGTTCTCTTAAGTGTCAAGGGAGGACATATTGTAACGTCCTTCCGTGACCCAAAGTTTAATATATAGCGAGCTATGTGCTAAGAGCGCCGCAGCCAGGATTGATCCGGACAATACTGTCGAGATCCACCCAGCTAGCTGATTGACAGTGGGCTCTACCCATCTAGAGGAAGAACCAGCTGGGCCCATCCCCTACCCTGTTCGTGCCTCCAAATCAGCGCTAGAGGATTGGAGAGGGGAATCCCTGCGGGGAGCAGTGACTGACGGTCTCTTCTCTCTGCAGGGAGATGATCGGAAAGTGAGCGAGCGACGGTATGTGTTTGCTCACTGCCTGATCAATAGAGCCGACGTGTGACAGTTTCATTGTCACACGTCGGCTCTAACTAGGAGGATGAGTGACACTCACCTCATAGTCCTCTTTTAATTATAAGGGGATTGTGCAATCCCCTTCAAAGTCCCAGAAATACTTGAGTCTGCTAGTGAAGTCCAATTAATGCATCTTCCTGTGATGTGGCAACAATGCTGCAATGTTCTTGAATTCAGAGCAGAGTTGCCACTTTCTTGTACACAATGACTGCTTGCACTACAGTGGGATGTGTAGCCATCAACATGGTCTCTGCTGATTTTGTAGCTGAAACCCTTCCTCTCTGACCTGGAAGGAGAAGCATATCAGGAACAAATAAAGGAAGTTTTGGCTCAGTCAGGTTAAATAAAGAGTTTTTTGTTTACTTTATAAAGCTTGTACATCACGTAGTAACTGGATTTGGTACTTTTTTTAGACCGTCATGCAGGAGCATTTAGTAGCTTAAAGTAGACTTAAGAGAACTATGGGGTAAGTGTTTTCCCAAATTGTTCTCTTTAGGGTCACGGGAGGACATATACATATACTAGGACATTTCCGTGACCCAAAGCTCAGTATATTGTGGGTTATTGCCCGCGATATACTGTGAGCTAACGCAGCCGGGACGGATCACATAATTACTGTCGAGATCCACCCAGCTCCATGAGTGACAGCTGGCTCTGCCCATCTAGAGGCAGAGCCAGCTGTGCCCGCCCCCTCCCCGTCCATTCCTCCACTCAGCACTGGAGGATCGGAGAGGGGAGGGGGGAATCCCAGCGGAGAGCGGTGACTGACTGATCGGTTCGACGGCATGTTTCTGCTCACTTCCAATCGATAGATCCGGGCTGTGACAGCTTCTTTGTCACAGGTCGGCTTTAACTATGAGGATGAGTGGAAATCACTCACCTCATAGATCTCCTTTAAGCCAGACAACCAAAATAACCGTCTGTAATATGCCAGTTTCAAAAGTAACATGCAATTTTTGTTTTCTTTTAAATCTGAAGCTTTCACCAATACCCCTAAACCGGCCAGATGTGTCCCCGTTCAGGCCCTTCCTGTTATGGAGTGAGAACACTATGTAGTTGTCTCCCAAATGTTCTCCTGCATAGTCGTCCCGTCAAGTACGCTTTTAATGGATTAAGTGGCTGTCCCGACACTCGCAGCACAGGAATGTTTTGCCACTGTAACCATTAGAAGCCAAAACTGAACAATGATTTGCAGCTGCAGTGCAAACGTGTATAAAAGAAGTGTTTGCAAAGGAGCATGAGTAGATCAGCAATAATGGAGATGGGGGTGAACACAGTATTTTCGAACAGACAACAAAAATGGCGATATTCAGTGCTTTAGCAAAACGAAAAGCAGGAAACGTTTGGTTCAGCATAAAGCTGAACAGACAGGTTGGCCCATCTTGAATGCAAAGAAAAAAAATGAGGAGGTACAGCGCACAGCGTGTGGAGCTGTGAACAGGGCCAACTGATCGGAAGCCGATTAATCGATTATTGAAAAAGTTGACAACTTTTTCAATAATCGATTATAATCGATTAGTTGTTGCAGCCCTAGTTTGTTTCACCTTTGTAAACATTTATGCATTGCTATAGCTGCAATACCATGCACAAAAATATACAAATTTAAAAGGTCTGAGTTAATAATTAATGATTAGACAGCAAAGAGCATTAATCATGTATGCATAAAAAGGCCTAATAGGGTTTGATGCAACTAGTTAAAAGTACCAGACAGTTAGTTTATGAAGATGGTTTGAGATTTTTTTTTTTTCATACAGCTTTAATGATTTTCATACACAAATAAATTGCTAATTAAACAAAACAAGAGCACAACACATCAGTGGGAGGCCATGATAGAAAGTGTATTGTACTGATATAGTTTAATATTGAAAACTTTCCACACTATTGGTCATCATCTGTGCTGGTAAATATTGTTCCATCACTATTTAAACTTGTATACCACATTACTGCCAAAAAAATAATCTGCCAATAAAGCCACCTAACAGTGCAACTCCAGTTATAGGTAGAATGTAATGGCTTTACTTACCGCTTCTATCTCATGGGGAAGCCAGCACCCACCTTGTTCCACTTCCCCGTGGCATCTACCGTAGTATCAAACTCCCTATAGGGACCCCTACTGTAGTACCATGTATTCGTGCAAGCTTCAGAACTCAAGCACATAGATTTTACTGCTAAAAGCCAACAGATATAAAATGTGTTCAGTAGATATAAAATGTGTTCAGTTATGTGTCAGGGGAAGCCTGGTCTCGCTGTACAGGCATCTGGGGTGATTCAGAAACTTAGCCAGCTTGTCCCAAACTTAGCCAGCTTGTAGACCAGCACTTAAACCAAAGGATCTGCCTCATATAAACTAAGAGGAGACCAATCCTGGGCACCTGGCATAGAGTATCCACCATCCCACATAACACGGAGCAGAGAAGGGTCAAAATGGAACCAGGGTCCCTAGCCATAGATTTAGATCAGAC